ATATCGATTTAATATCAAAATGATATCGAAGTGATAATACTTTATTTCAATATCGTATCGATATTAAATCGATATTGAAATGATATTGAAATGATATTGAAATGATATCACTTGAAAACTTAAAGTTTCTGTAAAGTGATACTTATTAGTTCGTGACTTCGTGCTGTATTATCTGTCAAAATAACGTCATGATGCCTTAGATAAAGAATTTGTTGATGAGGGCTCATCCAGAATAGATGAAAAAGACAATTTTTGACACAATGATAAGTTATGAACCATGTAGGATCATCTTCCTTCATTTTTTGTAACTCTTTAAGAAGATTAGAAGTATCATTTTTAGGATTCTGTTCAGAATTTATATGATTTCTTCAGAATTGTTAAATAGCATTGGCCAAATCTTTATCAAGAAAAAGGTGATCCTTAAATTCACCTTAAAGAAGTTGCCTTAATGTGTGTTAATTAATCCCATGAATTGTATTCACATAAAATTCAATTTTATTCATTACATCTTGAGGAATTTGTCAATAAACATTAGCAAATTGAATTATTTCTGGATTAAGTGAATGTCCATCATATGTGAGATTCATCTTGGTAATCGAAGGACATTGTGACTTAAGTGGCCAGCACATATATATAAAACAAGTACAGCCAGTTTTGATTGATTCCCTATTGCGTTATTTTGAAGGATCTGTTGCTATTTTTTTTTGATTTGAATATTCCTACGTGTCTATATTCAAATATATACTTATATACACCTCCATTTTTATCTAAGTATTTATCTTGAATCCTCCATACGAAGCCAATCTGTTGTCCATAAGCCAATAATACTAAATTAGCATAGTTCCAGTTTTCAAATTGCATTCCAATACTTAATTTAGAAGCCTAGTCAAAAGTACTATTAGGTATAATCAATTTTTCAAGTGATCGTCCCTTAGAAATTCCAACACGAGAAGGGGAATTTGTTGGACAGATGACTCTTCGGAAGACTCATTCTAGTTATTAAAATAATTGTATTCGATGTTGATTTCATATTCATTATTAAAATCACACATTTTTCATATAAAAATAATTAAACATTTAGACTAAAAAATTTATCAGAAATGTTAGAAACATTAATATTTATAAAATAATAAAAAAAAAAATTAAAGAAACAAATCAGCTTTACTTACTTATTTTAATGTTATTAAAGACAAAAAGAGTTATTAAAAAAAAAATATTTGAAACAAAAGGGAAAAGGAAAACCAATCGTGAGAAAAAATTATGAAAGTCTAATAAAAGTTTATGCAAATCACATGATTATTACATTATTAGAATGACGTTTAATGAAATCATCAGGGGTGATCTGAACAAAATCTCTAAATTATATTTAAAACAAATTCTTATATTTACTATAATTTTTACTTATTATGAAATATTTATAATTAACATATATCTTTTTATCAGAAATAAATAAAAGTATATTTTACTAATATTACATTTCTCTTTTCATATTGTAAACATTTTTTTATTAATACTCCTAACATTTTCTTTCACGTTTCTTTCTTTTTCTTCTACTAACACTTCTATTAACATATTTCTACTATTTCTTTTTTCCCACTGAATGTTATTCTCTTACTAATATACATTTTTATTAACATTCACCTTCTACTAACATTTTTTCTTTCTTTTCTTCTATTAATACTCCTTACTAACATATTTTTACCATTTCTTTTCTTCAACTAACATTATCCTCTTACTAACATACATTTTTATTAACGTTTGCTTTCTACTAACATTTTTTCTTTCTTTTCTTCTATTAACACTCTTTACTATAGTTGTATTAGTAATTGTTTTTTAAATTTCGTATTCTGAAATTACGTTACGTAAATATAATTACAAATTACTTAATTAGTTACGAGTTACTTAATTAATTACAGGTTACTTAATTAATTACAGGTTACTTAATTAATTACGAGTTACTTAATTAATTATGAGTTACTTAATTAATTACGGGTATAGTTGTTTCTGAAATTCAATTGGCAAATCCGAAATCCAAAATTACGAAATTGTAATTAACATAATTCCATAATTATATTAAAATTCGTGTAACAGTGCGAAATTACGAATTTCTCGAGATCTAGTTATTGGATTTGAATAAATTTACTATCATTCGATTCATCGCACTGAGACGAATCTAATGGTATGTGTTTCATCTCTCTAGCATTAATATTAACGGAGCTAAGTCACTATAAATGTTTATTGGTTATTGACATCAGAGAACGATCTAGTGATTGAATTTGAACGAATTTACCACCATTAGATTCGCCTCACTGAGACGAATCCAATGGTAAGTATTTCATCTCTATAGCATTAATATTGACGGAGCTAAGTTACTATAAAATTTTAATGATTATTGATATCAAAGCACGATCTAGTGATTGGATTTGAAATTTGAATGAATTTACTACCAATCGATTCGTCTCATCATGACGAATCGAATGGTGGTAAAATCATCCAAAATGGATCACTAAATGCCGAGTTATTATTTATTAAAGTTTTTAAATATAATTCGGCTAAAATTAAGAGTAATACTAGCCAAATATTTTCGTAATACAAAATTAATTACAGAATTCGAAATTAATTACGGAATACAGAGTTTTTCTAATGAATTACTTAATAATTACAGAATTACGTAATTACGTATTTCCGTAATACTAAAATAATTTTGGATACAAGTATACTCTTTATTAACATATTTTTATCATTTCTTTCCTTCTACTAACATTATTCTCCTACTTACTAATATTTATTTTTATTAACATTTACCTTCTACTAACATTTTTTCTTCTTTTCTATCATTTCTTTTCTCCTACTGAAATTCTTACTAACGTTTCTACTAAACATTTTCTATTAATGTTATTCTTCTACTAATATATTATATTTTCATTAACGTTATTCTACTAATAGTATTTTCTATTCTATTATTTTTCTTTTTTCTTACTAATGTTTCTACTAATATTTTTCTACTACTAACTTTTTTATTAATGATCCTTTTCTCTTACTAGCACACTAACATTTTTTACTAATTTTTCTTTATAAATTAAACAGATATAATGAAAATAAGCAAACAGGTGACTTCATTATCATGCTACTTCGACTATAAAGTATTTCATTTATAGTATTCAACTTTAATTGATTTTACATAGAATATGATTTCTTTTTTATACATTTTAATTGAATAAATAAATAATATAAATTTTAATAAAGTTTTAGTATAATTAAATTTTATTTTAGCCTGAATTATAATTAATATTTAATCATAAATTATGATTCCATTTTATAATTTTTGCCTGAATTATATTATAAATCTACTAGTATTAATACAAAATCCAATATTTATACGATATCTATATAATATGTATCATAATACTTTACTATCAAGCTCAATTTTTTTGACATTATTTTACAACCATTATACTATACATATAATTAGGATGTGAATATAAACATGCATATTACCATATATGTTAACATAAATTTTATGGGGTTAGAATTGCAACATCTATATAATATATATTACAAAAGGATAATTGTCAAGCATTACACAATTAATTTTTTACTCTTTCATATTAATATGTAAATTAATATAAATAAGCTTATTGCATAAATATTATTACGCTAGACATATTAAAATTCATTACATATAAATTTACTATATAAATAAAAATATGCATTACACCAAGTATGTTAAAAAAAATAAAACATGTCCTTTATCTGCATGATACAATATCTTTCTTTGTACTGTTAATATTAAAAATATTGCATAAATATTATGCTAAGCATATTGAAATTCATTACATATAAATTTACTATATAAATAAAAATATGCATTACACCTAAGATGTTAAAAAAATAAAATATGTCCTTTATTTGCATGATACAATGCCTTTCTTTGTACTGTTAATATTAAAAAAAAAAAAAATAACCTTTTATCTGCGTGTTCTACATATATGATGTTTTCGAATTGCCCTTGATATGTTAATTTGATTAGAAGTATTTTTGTGAGTCAAATTTGAAATTATCAAACCATTAGTCAGATGATCTAATTTCTTTACTTATTGTAAAGTGTAATAATTATCCATATTTGAATTGTTTGAATGAGTTATTTCATATTTTAAATGTAGCAAAAATGCTTCTTTTAAAAACTTCTTTAAAGGGTTAATAATCGTTGGAGTTTCAAATAATTCTTCTTGCTTGATAATGGCTAATTGTGTAAAGAATATATCTTTGAAAAAATCATTTGTAATATATAAGGATATCTGATATCTCATCCTTACTTGGTACTGAATCAATGCTAAAAAATACATTTTAAATTAATTAATTACTGATCATTCTTGGATATTTATTTACAACTAAAAAAAGCTTATCTATTGATTTTTATATAACCCTCAGCATAGCAACTAAGATCACTATTAAAGCGAGATCGGTGTTGTGACATATATTCTAAACCACGTCCTTTTAGAAATTTGATAGTTTCTGTATTTTTCTATTGTTCAGGTAGTAAAATTTTGGCAACATCAGTAATTGCATCTGAACTAGGGTTTTGACTTTGCATAAACATTACTTTCATTTTATCACACATGTTAGAGACATGCTCACTGGTAATCTATATTAAATTAAATATTAATATTAAATAATAGTTATAAGAAAAAAATTCATCAAATAAAATCTTACCCCAATAACTTCTTTATTATTGGATAGATGTTCTCTTATTAATCCTATTGTTGGAGTTTCAGATGAGAGATGACAATCCTTATTTTTCTGCCATGAAATATCTTTACAAACATCATCATCATTATTATAATGTTTGCCATTTTTATTTAATTATATATACTTGTTGATCATTAATATTTCCTTGAGTGGTTTTAAATTTATCTATTTGCACTTGATTATTGATAATAATTTCTTGAAATCTAGTTTTTTTATTGACTTTATTTTTGGTAATTAAATCTTTATGTAATATTTTTGGATGTTCATTTTCATCACTATCCAAATTATAATAATTCTTAGAGAATTGATTAATAGTTGGTGATAACCAGTTCAAGCCAAGCTATTCATCTTCATAAGATCTAATAGATGATAAATCTAAACGGAAGAGTCCCTGTTTATTTAATGATGATCGATCAATTGAATTAAAATTATCATGACGTTCATTTTTATTTGATAAGTAACTCATTAAGTTAAGATCATCCTCATGATCTCTTTTAATTTTTTTTTTTGATAATAATTTGAGAACATGTTCTAAATCACCACTCTTAATTTTTTCAGAAAGTAGTGAAATAAAACTGGATTCAAGTTTGTTATTATCATTATCATTTGATTTTGATAAAGATTCACTTTCTAAATTCTACTTGATTACACAAGTAACCTAATTAAAAATTACTTTGCTAACAACCTAAAATTTTTTAAATATATTGTAAAATTATTGACACAATACATTGTGTACAAACCATGATAAGATACTTGTTATTGGGTTTGTAGAGCCATTTCAACGTTTGATTGTAATATTAATTTATCAATATATAGTAAAATTAATAATAAAAATAAATTGTATATTAAATAGAAAAAATAAATTGTGCATTCAATTTTAAATATCACTCGTATATAATCATTTTTATTTATATATAGAAAAATTAATAGTACATTGTATTTTTAACATATATAGCGAACATTATTGTACGAACCATATTACTAATAATACGTATTGCATTATGAAAAAGATACCAATAAATATCCCGAAATTCTGATAAAGTCATCAAAATGAAAATTAATGATTAATAAATATATTAATTTGTAACATGTAACGAAATAGAAGAGCAAAATTAATCATAATTTACGTTATACAGCCAAATAGAAAAACTCATTGCGCAAATATTCCAAATTATTTGTCTTATGCTCGTTTGTACAATTTGCTTTACAGTTATGTACAAAATGTACATGCGGATTTCGATCAACAATATGAAAAGAATGAATATGAGGCCATAAGACGTCCTTTGATTCTTGAAGACCATAGATTTTACATCCAGTAAGGTCATCTATTCGGCCGGTATCATAATACCAATCTAAAATAAAAAATGCGTATTTTTTATAATCATTTGCTTGGTGCGTAAAAATTCCTCTAATAATAGCATATTCCCGATTTTTTGTTCCATCATCTTCTATATCAATGACCTCTCCTACGTGAATATTAATATCAACATTATCCTCTTTTATAATTGTATATGAGATTGCATCGTAGTATTCCAAAGTTTTGAAGCTAATTGCTGTTTCCTTATTAAGATAGTGACGATAGGCTTCATAAAGATTCTTTTGTATTTCGTTGCTGATCTTCTTTACAAACCCTTCCTTTTCTATCCTTTTAGTATTCCATTTCTTATGTACACGAATATTGAAAAAGCATTCTTGAGGTGGTTCAATTACTAAATTATAAAAAAAAATTAACATTAACATTAAGTAAGAGTATCTGAATCAATTTTATTGACGCCAACCATTTTCCTGTTCTTGTTCAACCGTGTTGTATTCTTCCAATCTTGTAATGTGGTGAGCTGGAACGGATATATACCATCCTTCTAATAAGCATATTAGTTGTTCATCTTTTAAAATTGATCTTATACAATTACCACCACCTTCAGGAATTCTGGCGTTATAACCATTATCTATCACATAACGAAGTCCTTGCAATATATTATCTCGCTTAATAAGATCAAATTCTACATTTTTTTTGTTAGTATGTGGAATCATCCTTTTATACACACCATGCATCATCTCTTTAAGTGAAACGGAAACATTCTGTAATGTTCCATAAGTAGCTGCAATCAATGGTAAATGTTGTAAAACATGGATATTTGGTAGAGTGGTTATCATATCCGGATAGATCTAAATTAAATTAAATAGTTACGCATGTACTAATTATTAAAAATAAGGCAAAATATATATATTTTATTAATAAATACCTTATTCAAAATCCTGGTCAATTTTATTACTAATTGATCTAACGCTTGATAGTCAGATTTGTGAAATACATTGGCAAATACCTTTGCATATAATCTGGCAAATAAACTCCAAGTTTTAACTATTACAGCTTTTACTTGCCTTGAATTTGTTAGTTCAAAATTATTCTTAACAGTTATAACAAAACATTGTTTCAATTGTGTGGTATTTAAGCATCGTGACAGAATAAAAGGCATGATCATAACTAATCTTAATGAATCACTCATCCAATACGAATCAAGATGAGTAATTGGACTTTGGATACGTTTCCAGTTTCTTGGCATTTCAAAAATTAACCATGTGCTATGTAAAGCATCCAATCCGGATTTCTCTAACTCATGGTTAAATAAATGATCAAGTAATGTGCTAATCCAGCTAAGCAATGAAATGGATCTTGTGGCGTTTGTAAGTGATGATCACGTGCTAAATCATCTAATATATTTGGATTTAGACATAATCCATATTCTTGTGCAATATTCTTCTTTGTTGTACTATTCCTAGCAGTTTTAATCTCATCATAAATCCTACTTGTTAAATGATGGTATCGACCATTTTGAAATATGTCAAAATCTGCATCTGATAGTTGACTTTGTGAAACTTTACAAGTGCGACATCCATATTCGGCATTATGCCTTTTGATTCCAGCTATGTCATTACCTTGAGGGAGATCCGCCGTGCCCATTCCAAACCCTGCACTTATTCAAACTTGTTCATCTTTTATCATCATAGGAATTCCATTTTGTAACTCTTTCATATCTGAGTTAAATTCTTCAATAGTATTTTCAAATTCCCCACCGAATGGAACAAAACCAATAAGGAAGTGATTTCTAAGTTTTTTTCGCAACTCTCTACTCATATTACCAAGTTGTATATAGATCCCTCCAAGTGTATGATATGCTTTGTTAAAAGCACCAAAATCATCAAAATACAAATCTATAAAAAATTTGTAATGTTTTATATTTTGACCTGATGGTAATTGAGGAACACTTATATACTCTATGGGTAATTTATGTCGTAAAGAAACATGACGAATTTTTTGACGGCCATTAAAAGTATAAATAATCTCTTGAATTGAAAATTCAAAAGTTGGTAGGCGTGGAGTATTGTCATCTTTGATCTAAACATTAACATGACGAATCAGATCTTGAATCTTAATTGTGCTTCGTATCTCTTCTAACCATAGCTCATTATGTAACTGTAATCTTTGGTATCTTTCTTTGCTTTTCAATGTACCAGGTAATTCATAAAAAGTTCTTGTAGTTTGTATACGAAAAAATTGATCAGGTAAAGATTCATCTATCATTACTATACCGGTAATTCTACCTACACGATTTAACGTATGTTGATCATGAAATTCTTTATATTCTATCCATTCTCCAGCCTTGAATGTAACTTTATTTTGTAATAAAAAAAATAAATAAATATTTTTAATATTATAATATACATAAGATTAAAATAAATTACTTTTTCCTTACCATCATTTATAACAATTGATGTTTCACCAAATAATGGTGATTCTTTTCATAAATCCCCATGCCATATCTCAATCCTTTCTTTTTTTTCGACACCAGGCCCAAAATACATTTTTGGCATCAACGTTGGATTATTAATTATTCGAGAAATATGATTTTTAATTGAAAAATTATATGTCTCTTTTAGCGGCAAAGTCTTTGAAGGAGTATTTTTTAAATCAATCAGAACAAACTTTCCTGTAAATGGTAATAAGGGCAACCCTTTATGGATTTTCTTAAGAGTTGTAACACTATAAGGAACTTCATCAGCTTTAAATTTTGGATGGCATATAATTTTGACTAGCTCGTGATAAGCATGCGTACCTATAATATCAATATAATAAGTTTATTATAAACTTTTAATTGCAAAACAAAGATTTAAACGAATAATATAATATATTACCTATACTGTTTTTCGTAAACCATATGAACATCCACATAGCTGTAAGACTCGGAAAATAAGGACCACTATCATCTGTATATCCAGGTAATATAGAATCAACATCATAATACTTTTTACTGTCAGATGTAATTTGCGTAAAGTTAACTCCATCTGTATTATCATCATCACTATTAGATGAATTATCACTCATCGTTGGTGAATTTGGTCTTATCAAAGGAAAAGAAAAATCATCTGATAATAATGTGTTATTATTATTAAAATCAAAATTTTGAAAATTATCTTCTATTCTTTCTGTCATGTCTCTGCTAGGTCTGTTTAAGATATTTTGATTGTCAATATCGTCAATATTATTTTTGCGTAAAGCTCTAGTATTAACATTATGTGAAGAAATATATTTTGGAAGTAGATTTTCCTGATTATTAATAATATTATTATTAAGCGTATTTAAAGGAATTTCGTTTGATATTAATAAAGAAGATATGTTAGATATATTAGTTCTTTCTCGCAATGTTATAGTGAACTTCTCATTTTTTTGTTGACTGAGTGGTTGTCTCTTATACACATCTAGATGTGTATAAGAGACAGATTATAAACAATTTCATTTATTAACAATTATATATATTATTAATATGATTGGTTGTTAAAGTGACTGCAGATTTATTTTTTACAAAAAAAAAAAGAAAAAAAAATGACGAACTAATTTATTTTTTTACAAAAAAAAAATGAAAAAAAAAATGACGTGGAAAAAAAACTAATTGTTTATGTAGTTTGTGTGGTTTGTGTAATTTGAAAATCAAATGACTAAATTTATAAACAATTATAAACAATTATATTTATTAACAATTATATATATTATTAATATGATTGGTTGTTAAAGTGACTGCAGATTTATTTTTTACAAAAAAAAAAAGAAAAAAAAATGACGAACTAATTTATTTTTTAAAAAAAAAAAAATGAAAAAAAAAATGACGTGGGAAAAAAACTAATTGTTTATGTAGTTTGTGTGGTTTGTGTAATTTGAAAATCAAATGACTAAATTTATAAACAATTATAAACAATTATATTTATTAACAATTATATATATTATTAATACAATTGGTTGTTAAAGTGTCTGCGGTATAAAAATAGACTAAATTAGTTTAATAATTTTATTTATAAAGTCATTTATTAACAATTATATATATTATTAATACGATTGGTTGTTAAAGTGACTACGGTATAAAAATAGACTAAATTAGTTTAATAATTTTATTTATAAAGTCTATTAAAATTTTTCCTCGTTAAAAATTTTTTTATTTTTTTTTTTACTCCCTACTTTTACAACTTTGCATTTGTTTTCTAACAATGATAAGAAAAACTCGTTCAAAATCGTACAGCAGTAACAAAACAAATAATACTACGAGCAAAAATAAAATCACGCATAAGCGTCAAAGAACATCAAACAGTACTATTGAGGAATCCAGTAAGATATCAATTTATTTATTTCTTTTTCATAATTTTATAAGAAGAAATGATCTAACTTTAATAACTTGAGCAGGGGAAAAAAAAGGAAATTCGTCCAACCCATCTGGTGAAAGTTTTGATGCAGATGATGCATGCAAAGATCTACTTGATGATCTACTAGTTGTTCCTCTTGATGAATTTAATACTCCTCATAATAGTACCTCTTTTAATAATGAATCTCTTGAGGAATCGGACAAATCACCTATTAAAAAATCAAATTCAAATGTAACTGACAAATCAGAAAAATGCCTTTTGCATTACAAACCTAATATTAACTTAAGAGCTGGATTATCTGAAAACAATACTGATACCATTTCTACTGGTGATCCTGCATCACATAATAAAAATTCAGAATACTACATATATAAAAGAACTGATGATAATACTTCCCCTAATACTTCCTCTGATGAAGATACTACCACTCGTGATAATTTTCAAGATGAGCCTCTTTCTGATGGTCCTTCTAACAATAGTGATATGTCTGTTAAGGATTCAAACAAACATAAACCAAAATACACATTATGTTATACACCTGAGAATACTGATAATTTAAGAGGACAAGAAGCTGCGCCACAGCCCCGTACAGCTGGACAAGATTTATCATCGAGACATTTTATTAATTTGGATCCTTCAATTAATCATGTACTGTATAATTTACTGTTTATTTATTGTATTTACTATAAAATGATTTATAATTTAATTACAAATTTATGTTATATTATATAGGCAACTTCGGATATGCTTGCAACTCTAGTTAACAAGACAAAAATCATGTTTTTAAGAGCTCGGAACCCACCACCAGCTGCATATATGGAACTAGCAAAGTCAGTAGCTCCAGGGTATACTGAGACTAGTAAAACAATTTCTTTTCTTAAGACAAAAATAAACGCATACTATGCAGATCATCGTTTACACTTGAATTCTGGTGCCAGAGCATATGGCGAAGAATATATTGACATCAATGGGTAAATATTTTGTTAATCGTATTTTCTTATTTTTTTATAATTAATTAACAAATTTATTTTTCTATTCCAGAATCACTCTCGAAAATATGCCAAATGTAGAGAGTTTAGGATCATTTGTAAATGATACTGTAATTTATCAATGTCTTAAAAATCCATTTGCACAAGTTTCTGATGAGTGGTGGGACAATGATAAGGATGCTGTCAATGCATTTAGATTGTTAATTGCCAAATGCATCAAAATTCATATGATCAACATTTTAAAATGTATAGATGAACCACTTCTTACAAATGCTTCAGCTTTAAATGAGGTCAAGACACTTGATTATATTACACGTGATCTCACACTTCCTCACCATAATCAAACTAATTTCGTCAATGAAATAAATTTTAATGCACTGGAAGCTTCTACAAGCTATAGGAATAGACGTGGATGTGGACGCGAACGTGGACGTTTTTATGGTCGTGGACGTGAAGGATTTGGCAGAAGACATTGAAGTAACTCGTATTCTATGTACTTCATGATGTAATTCATGATGTAATACTATCATTTAACACTTGATATTTAATGCTACTGCATACTGTGCATAATAATTTGAATTTAATTACAAATCAAACATTGTATTAAAAAATTTTATACTATTGTTATGAAAAATAAGAAAGAGTACGTGAAAAATTAGTAAGGAATTTTAGTCTGACCGCTAGCGGATAAGTGAATGAAACACTAACATTATGTTAGGAACCTCCTTAATGAGCCAAATTAAAGAGAAGTAATTCATCATCTTAAAGTGCGTGGTTAATCAGGTTAAAATACTTACTAATTAGTTGTTAATGAAAAATAACAACATAGTAGTTATGTGCTTATATGTATGACAAACCATTGTAATATATATTGTGTAATATATAAGTAAAAAAAATTGTTTAAAATCGTAAGATGATTTATTAAAATATAATTGTGGCTATATAAATTACAAGTGTTTGTGTATTAATATATACTTGACAATTTACAATCCAAAACTATTGTACAATTCATTATAAAATTTAAATATATGATTGTACAATACTTGTTCAAGTATCGTACAATACATTACGTAAAATTTTAGTTGTTAGCAAAGTAGTTAAACAGGTTAATTATATAATTCTTTATTTATGTTAAATTGAATTCAAAATTTTACTTACATTGTTATCTTTTTCTTGGATAGATATACTATCATTATTATTAAAAATCTCCTGCGTTTTCAAACCTTCTTCAGATAATTGAATATTACTATCTTGTAGTTTAGTAGCTTTTGATAGTTAAATATATATTTTTTTAATTAATATTTTTCATTTATCAGTTATAATTTCATTTAATTATAAATAAAAACAATACCAACTTTCTTTTTTTTGTGCTTCGAGTATTTCATTTGCTAGTTGGATTATTTGCTTTAACTTATTTTCTTCTTAGCGGCATATTTTAAGAAGTTCGTTAAAGAATTAAAGGTCATTTATTTTGAAAGTATAATATTTTAGGAAGTTCGTTAAAGAATTAAAAGTCATTTAATTTTGAAAATATAAATTTATGTTGAAAAACTTCATTAGTAATATTGGATTATTAATTAAAATGTCTTGTATTACAAATTAGGTTAAAAAATGAAATTATGTGATTGTTGTACGTAAAATTTATATAATTTATAGTAATATTGGATTATTAATTAAAAATTGAAGACTGAGAAGATCGTGTTGTATTGTAAATTAGGTTATATAGAAGTTTATGCAATTCTTTTTCAAATAGTCACATAGAAATTTATGTAAATAATAGTAAAATTAGGTAAACAAGCTAATTTAAACTATTATTATTTTTATTATCATATGATCTGATATGATTTTATTGCAATTTTTGTTTTCCTTTTATAAAAAATATCCTAAATGGCCATAATAAAATAAAAATAAAAATAAAATAAAAAATATCCTAAACATATTTTTATTGACATTTTTTGATATGGTTAAAATTACACGCAAAATATTAACACAAAAAGCAAGTTTGCGACAAGCAGTACGTTCAAATATTGGCAAAAGTATAAATCTTCATAAAATTATACCACATAATGAAAAATCTAATTTAGCATTACATAGCAATTCTAATATGTCAAATTTTTCAGAATACAATATCCAAAATATTATTCCAAATGAAAATTCATCCATAAATAGAGATAGTTTATCTAGAAATAACAATTCTTTTCTTTCCCAATCAATTAATAATAATAAAAGTGAATATAATATTAATAATAATGATCAAGAAAAATATTTTCAGAAATTGAATGGATATGAAAATAGAAATATAATTCAAGAGGAAAATGCATCTACAAGTGAAAATAAAGAAAGAGACTATTACTTTCATAATTTGATTGATGATGAAAGTAATGATATTGGTAATAATGATCAAGAAAACTATAACCAAAGATTGGATAAATGTGAAGATAGTGACGAAGAAGATATATCTTTCATATTTAAAAACAAATATGATGGATTTCAAAATGCATCATTTTATCATGGTAAAGCTAAACCTTACTTTCCAAATAAATCTGTGATGTTGATGTTTATTTGGTATACAAAATACATGATAGGTATTAGCATTAAATTTAATTAATTATTTAATCAATTAATTATTTATTTTTAACACTAAATTATTTATTTAATTAATAGGAACTTGTGCTTACCAAGATTTAGTAAAAATTTTGCAACATCCAGATTTTTGTGCATCAGATCTTCCTCAAAGTATCACAACATTAAAACAAATGCGTCACAATCTTCCATTAATAACTTTAAATAGTCATAATGTTAAGATTAATCCAATGGATATTCCATCTACATCAGTTTCTGTTAAGAAAGACTATACATCTTCCATTTTTGATTATATTCAACGTATTCTTAATAATCCATCAATTTTTCCAAAATTATATTTTGGTCCTGGCATCGAGACCTTAAAAAAATTTGAATTGTGGCATAGACAAGTATGGAAGGAATCACCACTATTTGGTAAAACATCACATATGATTAAAAATGGTAATATTTATATTTTAAAATTTCTAATCTTAACTGGGGAGAAAATTCCTTCCTTGTCATGTGATTAGCACATATGTAACTCTACTGATATAGTCTGATAGTGGCTTTTACCTGAATAAGAAAGTAGAATACAATAATAAAGTTAGTAAAGACATTCAAAAAAAAAAATTTACACGTCTCTAATCCTAACCTTAAGCCTAACTATAATCCCTAACCATAATCCCTAATCCTAACTCTAATCCCAATCCTAACCTAACCCTAACCTAACTCTAACCCTAACCCTAACCCTAATTCTAACCCTAACTAATCCTAACAATCCTAACCTCTGGTAATCTAATTACAATCTTAATCATGGAAGTTTATATTCTACAAATGTAAATTAGCCTTTGAAATGTTATCGGCATAGTTTTAGACACTTTCAATATGAAAAAACTGATACAATCAAAATGCAAAGCAAATATTTTTATTTTATTAATACAGTCAACATACAATTTGTAATGCATACAATAGATAGCAATTTACATGATCTAATTAATGAATAAATAGCATTTCATCCCATTTGCTAATGTACAATCAACAATACATATACTTGAAATAATTTACACATTCTGACTAATGAACTTACACATTGCCCTATTATGCCCTTTTTCTCCACAATTTTGACAAGTCTTTCGCTTGTCTTTTTCATTATTATTACTTCCACTTGCATTGTTATTTGACATTTGATTATTATTATCTAATGGTTGTAAATGTCGTCATTTTCTAGTATGCTGGTCTTGAATCTCAACACAACTCTTTGCTCTTCCAGCTGGCCTTCCTTTTCTTGTAGTAATTATAGGATTTTTAATGTTAAAATTGATTTCTTCCATATTCTGACCTGATTCTAGAATTGCTTGTTTATCTGATATAAATCCATGGCAAATACCTATAAATTCATCATAAGAATTAGTGGCAATTGCAACGTGTGCTTTGCCATATTTCGTCGTGTACAGTTAATTTCTCTTAAATTTTGATTGTAGAATTCAGCACCACGAATTTGTTTAATATAATCAAACTTATACACTGAGTATTGATCATTATTCTGTTCTTGATTTGAATTTATACATAGAGTTATAGGTGATTGCTGCCAAATATCATTATTTCCATCAATTATATCATCCTTATACCAACATGATGCAATAAGACCTATATGCCATTTAGCTTAAGTTGAACATCGTAAAATCTTGTAAAAATGGCGACATGGATATCCATGTGTTATAAGAAGATTACACGTACAACGATGTGATCCATCCACTAACAAAATAACATAATGAGTTTTGGTTCCACAAGATATAATCAATCGCCAAATTTCTAAAATTTGATCCAAACCAATTTTAGAAATGATATCAGTGAGGTGTACTTTAACAACTTCATAGTTTTCTTCCCTCATTCCTTCATTATAATCAGTATTTGTTTGTTCCTATTAAAAAGGCAAATGTGTTAATTAATATGAAATATGAATAAACAAACAATTCTCTAAAGAAATAATAATTACCTGTATTATAGAATCAATAATTGCAACATCCATCTTAAAACTATCATAATAAAAACACTCTTGCATTTGCTTACAAACTAAAAATACCATTGCAGGCATAAGAAATTCCGAAACAACTTTTTCAATGGATTTAAAATATGCTTTAGGAATAGTTGCAAGACCAACTATAGGTATTTGGTCTTTGTATTCTTCTACCCTTGCGTATTCTGATTCCTTGTCAAGTACATATTGGATCTCTTTTACTAATGTTAAAAGAGAACGAACACAATCATGAATTTTGTGATTCAAACTTTCAACTCGTTGAGTGCTATTTGCACCAGCTGTAAATTGATTATTTGTATAACATACAGCCCATTTGTATTTTAAAGGATCCAATTGTTTTCTTATATAATTACCAGCTGATGGATATTTTAATTTCAAATGCTCCCAACGATTTTCAAAAAGTGTTGAAATCAATGTATTCCTACAATGAAAAAATTCTTCTCGAAATGCTTTAAATTCATCTGATTTCAACTTATTTCGAAGATTTTTCTTCAAATTAAGGTCAATATGAAATATACATAAACAATGGATAGTATCTGGAAATTCTAAACTTATTGCATTGGCCATTGCTGGGTCAGAATCAGTAAATACAACTTTCAGTATAAGATCATTAGTACCTTTTTTAATCATACTTAATGCCCAAATGAAACTTTCTTCTGTTTCATCTTCAAGTAATGCAGTTGCAACAAGTCATGTACGATTACAATTGTCAATAACTGCAAAAAAACAAGCCATCATATTATATTTGTTAGTTCGAGACGTAGTGTCAAAAAATAGAACATCATGATAACACGTCCATAAAAATTGTTGATCCAATGTCATCCATAATAATCCACACAATCGTCATTCAATTCCATCAAATTTAGTTTCTATAAACCAACGTGAGTCATCTGTTTGTTGTGAATATAAAAATTTCATTAAATCTGAAGCATCAAATTCAATTCTTGATGCTAATTTCTTTTTTGAAGCTTGGATGGCATTATATAAATTTTTCTGGTAGATTTTTCTTCCAGGAAACTTTCCTCTTAAGAGCTGACCGATAGTTTATGTGCCAGTTGTTCCATTTTGTACACAAAAATCTATAAATTAAATCATATCTTCACCAAGCTTACGATATTTAGCAATATTGGTTGAAGAAGAAGGTATCATTTAATGATTGTGTTCATCAACAACAGTAGTGAACGAAATTCTTAAAGAGTTTTTTGGAAGATTTCCATTAACTCTCCACTTACATCCTGTAGCTTTAGACTGGCTATTTCTTTGATCATTTGGATTCAATATCTTTTTTGGTTGATAGTTACCTGCACAACAACATTCCCAACTAATTTTTCGTAGGATTTTATTATCATCATTTTCAGTTCTTTTCCGCCGAATACTGAAACCTTTTTCCAACGCGTAATCATTTAAAAATTTTTCAGCTTCATCCCAAGTTTGAAAAGTTTGTCCTAAAGTCAGGTTTGAAGTTGGATTTTCAATATCATCTTTAGATGAAGAATCGATAATTAGAAAATTTTGATGTTATTTGTCGTATAACAATTCAACATTTGGGGACTGGTCTAGCAAAAGCTGGGTTTGTCCGATAACGTGTTTTCGAGAAAATCGAGGTTGAAGTTACGTAATCAATTTTGATGATCATTGCGACAAAAATTGGATTTTTTCGAAAACGGTCTTAATAACTTTGATCGAAATTTTCACAGAAAATTAATTGAAGCCTTAGGCTTCAATATATTATATTTATTTAATTTATATCATAAAATTTGTATAATACATATTTCAATAAATTTAATGCAATATTTTCTAATAAAAACAACAAACTAGTTCACCAAAATAAACTTTATTTTATTGAGATTCCAAATTTTCAAAGTATAAAAAAAAATAATAATAACATACTGGCTACATCAACAACAGTAAGTAAACAAAAAATAAGCTTAATTCATTTGGTAATATCACAAAATTTTGAATCTATTTACAATAAATTTAGTCTAATCTGTTATGTGTTCGTTTGGATTAGGACAAGTAATATTGCGAAATGGTAAATCAACATAAGGTGTGATCTCCTTGTATAATTCCTCTTGCCTTTTCAAAGAAAGTGGCCTAATGTTAATTATAGAAGGTTGGGTATTGAAATTAAAAGAAAAATTTCGAACTGTGGTCTCTTTATAACTGTCTTCGAGTTTATCCTTATAGAAAACAACCCCAGAGTGTTGTGAAGTAAAGTAAAAATGATGATATTTTTGAATATTAGGAATTTTTTTAAACTTTTGAAAATAATCTTTAAAGTTGTAATACTGGAACCCTTCTCCCTTTAGAAAGTGCTGGGAAGCATTAAGATGGACTGTAGTGGAATTATCGACAATAGAAGCCACATCATCCACAGTATTGACTTTACTTTTCCGATAAAAAATCTTGATTAGGCCAAAACAACTGTCACAAATAAACTTTGTGTGGCCAGGTATCATAAAATTCATCTCAACTTCTTCATATACATCACGATCAATTAATCAAGAATAAAAAAATAAAAAGTAATTATTTTTATTTTGACCTACGCAGTTATTACATGTGATAATTAATTTTTTTTCTCCACAATTATATTTTTTAATTGCATGCCAAACCAGACTAATTGTACAATTTACTCCCTTCCCCAGTTTTCCATCATCAGGCATTTCACCTTCGTCAATAACATAATTTGTTTGTTCTGTGTAAGGTTGCTTGTCTAAACCTCTTCAAAATCCTACGATTAGTTTTGTCAAAACTTTACTATAGATTTATTATAGTTTCAGCAGAGTTTCGGCAGTTTCGGCATTTATAATAAGTTTCGGCAGTTTCGCTTTTCTCCAAAGTTTCGCCAGTTTTTTAATATAACTTTAATATAGTTTCGGCAGAATTTCGCTTTTCGGCAAAACGCCATCTTGTCTAAACCCCTAGGTTTCAGCAAGCAACCTTAGTTTTGTGTGAGGAAAGTTTCCAGTATTACAAACTCCAAATAAATGAACTTTTCGAGGACTTTTAAAAAATAAAGATCCTACTTGTTGTGGGAAGTAAGGAACATGTACATTCTGAGCCCAATCATATGTGATATGAGCGCTCTCTTCAAAACTTTTAAATAATATCTGAGTTTTAGTTTTATTTGGGTTTCTTTTTCCATCTTCAACTGCGAGTGTAATATTGTTATTATAATATTACGTTCTTCTTTTGCACGACTCAAATGAGCCAAATAATTCCCAGTGACTGATATTTTTTTTCATGTTCTGTAATATATTGAATCTCCAATTTCATTGCTTCGCATGTATCGCACAAATCAGACTTTGGGGACATGAACTGGAGTGATGGCATTAAGGATTTCCAGGTCCTTCTAAAAGTTCTTTCAGATAAAATACGTTTTTCTTCTCCATATTGTTCTTTATAAGCTTGAGTATAATCACGATATACTGATGCATAACTAAAATTCGTTGGAAGAAATACTACTGGCATAGTTATTTTGTTTAATTTTCGCCCAGGTGAAGGTAAACCATGTATATCAGAGTAATTTTTTAAAAAGTTATAAATTTCACACACCATATCATAATTTACTTCAACATGTATCATATTTTTTGGGACATTTCCAGTATTACCATGTATACGTTCCTCAAAACCAAATTCTCGTAAATGTTTTATTACATTATCTAAATAAGAATGACCAACACCAACAAGAGCCTGATATGTGCTATGACAAATAGGAGTGCTGTTATTAAAACAATATTTGAAATGGAAAAATTTTCTATTATTGGCAGTTACTTTTTTTGTATTTTCGTCATGTTGAAATGCCATTAGTTGGCCTTTGATAACCATATTCCGCATATCTTTGTTTAAAGCTTCAAATTCTATTCGACGTGTAAGAAACCTCTCATATCCAATTTTCTCAAAACACTTAAAATTACATGTGCATTTTCCTTTATCAAAAAATTCTTTTACTTTTAATTTTATATCAACATAAACCTTGTCTTCAATATAGCTATCAGAATTTTCCATAAATTCAAAGTTGTTTAAATGCATTTTATTAAAATTTTCTACAAGACTTTGAGTATCATCCTCAATATCGTTAACATTAGGAATAATTTCATTGTCTGATATACTTTTTTCATCAGAACTTGAATCATTTTCAATAAAAAAAGTGTTATTCAGTTCTGCTAAAGCAGATAAAATATTTTCGTTTGCATTATCATTATCAAAGTTAATACCGTATTCCATATAATTTATTAAAAATAAATATTAAAAAAGTGCGTTTTTTTTAAAAAATAATTAAATAAAAGACTGCAAAAGTGTAAATATTTACGCCTTTTTTACTATTATATTATGAATGGAAAAACTTTTTTTCCAAATGGTTAGACCTATAGGCATATGATAATTAAAAAATCTTGAAATCACGTGACCGGACCCAACCTCGGCTTTTGCTAGACCGGGCCCCATTTGTCAAAGTTTCATTTAAAGAAAAATTAGAAATTTTTTCGGTCATCTCTATAATGAGGAGTTGTATAATGAGTAACAAGAAAAGTTTACAAAAAAGTTTATTGTAACACGTAAGGCAAGGTTGAGTCGTACAACGAGTAATAAGGAAAGAAGTTTATTGTAACACGTAAGGTAAGGTTTTTATATGATTACAAATCATACAAATCACATGAAATCAGTATCACGTGAAGGGAGGAAATTTACCTCCGGTGAAATGTAGTTATTTTCTTTATATTTAACTTAATAATATATAATTGCATATTTTTTAATTTTTACATATTTTTCAGAATTTTATCAAGCTGGTAATTTTATACTTTATAATAGTCAAGAAGAAGCAGGTGATAATCAACGGCTAAGACAAATTAATGGTATCGTAATACCAAAAGAAAATAGCTTTGAAAAATTATTATATGTTCAAAAAATTATGTATTATTCAGATCTTCCAAATCTTCTGATCGGTATATTCAATCAAAAAATAAAGCTGTTTGGTTAACTGAAAATCGTGAAGCAATTAATGTGGATTGTGTAGTAGTACACCATGTTAAAGTTTGGCTTGAAAATTTACCAGAATCTGAAAATTATGATTATCGAATTAGAGAAATTTTATATATCCATAATAATCGATCAAAAATAAGGCAAATTCACCAACAACATCAATTACCAAATCAGCATAACTTTCAAAGATTATCTTTTCCGCTTAATTTACAACATTTAAAATTTTTTATTGATTTATACTATAATGATTTTGATGCATTTGGTAAATCTTATTACAAACTTGGTGGAATTTATATACAGTTTGGCAATATGCCACTTTCAATGAGACAGTGTTTTAAAAACTACTTTTTAATTGGTTTAATACCATTTGATGCAAAATTTGCAGATTTTATTAAGCCATTTATTCAACAAATGCAAATATTGCAAAATGGTATTATTATGACTAATTATAATGGAGATAAAGTAATTATTTCTGGAGGTCTTGGTATGTGTATACCACAAGGTAACAATTTAGCAGGAATTAGAAGACATAATACTGATCATGGATGTCGTACATGTGAAGTAACTCAAGAAGATCTTAATAATACTTATTTTGATATTCAATTAAATGGAAGATATTGTCATATTATGGATTGAACACAAGTTTCAAGTATTATTGTAGATTGTTGGGTAAAAATCGCTAAGACTTGTAAGGCTGTATTTAAATCAACATACATTTTAGTTGATGAATATAATGATTATATCCTTTTGAAAAAAAGACTTGAACAAGTTACTGAGGCATTATTAAAGGTAGAGACAATTTTGAAAATAATGCACTTTTATTCTTTAAAGTTATTTTTTATGATAAATTATTATTTTACAATACATTGAATTATATTTTTTTAATAGGTTTTTAGAGAAACATTTTCAAATTTACCAAACCTCCATGCTCTTCACCATTTACCCGAAATTGCAAGAAATTTTGGAATGTTAGTTAATACTTCAGTTTCGTTAAAGGAAGCAGTACATGGATTATATAAAAGAACTGTCTTGCATACAAATAAAAAAGATCTATCAATGGACCTTTCAAAACGTGATAATACTCTTCAAACTTTAAGATACTTATTGGATGGTGGATTAGACACAAGATATGATGAAATTAATAATTTTTTTACTAATTTTGCAAATGATACAATCTTACATAAATTATTGGATGATTGGTATATTACAGAGAATGGATGAGAATGGATATATTACTACTAAAAATAATTCTGGTATTTAATATTAAATGTGACTTTTATTGTAATTTGTTACAAATTAAATTTACTATATTTTGACTTTTTTAAATATAGAAATTTTTTCTATTCATCCTGACTTTCAAAATATTCAGGTTTATGGACTATGGAAACAATTTAAAATTCAAGAGCAAGGTTTATCAACAACTCTTTCTACAGAAAATTTATTAACTGAAATTACAAAAATTTATAAGGATGTATATAAAAATTTCAGTGCCATTATTCAGCGTCGTGTTAACTACTATGATTCTATTCAATTTACTGTACATTTAGAATCTGACGTTTATGTTAATATCACATTACGAGTTGGTGAAGCAATTGATGTAGAAGTTGCTGATAGTCATGGTGAACAATCCTATGCACTAATTAGGGTAATTATGATTCATCAAGACGACTCTGGTAATAATAATCCATTTTTATTAATTGACTGGTTTTATAGAAATGGAAATGTTGATTCCGTAACTGGATTTCCAATTTATGGACTTCAAAAGAAGAGATGTCGATTCATGGTATCACCTTCAACCTCTAACAATAGTAGATCGACAACTTAGAGTACATTTTGTACACAAATGTACAAATCTGTGTTCAGAGGGTTTTCATGATAAAGATAATGAAGAGTATATTTTAAACAGGTAGTAGGATAATCGGTACGGTACGAATTTGCAAACCTGTACGGTACGGTTGATCACCCCATACAAAATTACAAAATTTGATCAACATGACCGTACCGTACCGTACTGACACTATAATAAACAGAAAATCAGTATGGTACATTTAGCATATAATTAATTGGACACCAGTGTCCATTTTAATAATTTGGACACCAATGTCCAAAATGTTCATTTTAATAATTTGGACACTAATGTCCAAAATGTCCATTTAAAATAATAACCGTACTGTACTGTACTGGTTCTATATATAGAGAGATTATTATAGAGCCAGTACGGTACGGTACAGTTGGTTAAATTTTATGGTTGATCATTTCGTGCCGTACCGTACTGGTTCTATAATAATCTCTTTATTTATATATAGAACCAGTACGGTACGGTACGGAATGATTATCACAAAAATTGATCAACCGTACCGTACAGGTTTGCAAATTCGTACCGTACTGGATAAATATATATTCATTTTAAACGAATTTTATTATACGATTGTGTAACTATAATGATATTATTAATATTGACATACATTTTGTAATAAGGATAAAACTGTATTAATACGTATATCAAAACTATATTAATATGCGTGTTAAAATTATCTTGACGTGTATTTTGACATTATATAAAATTATATTGTGCAATAATATTAAAACTATACCACTGTATATATTGATATATATATTGAAATAATAATAAAATTATATTAATAAGCTTGTTGCAATATATATCAAATTAATGTTGTAATTATTTATGATATGATGTTTAAATATTTGTAAAATAATAATAGTAGGCATATCGTTAAAAATATAAAATATGGTTATAACAAGGTTATTATATGGTTGTCAAAAAAACCAATATTGTTAGTAGAGTATATCGGGTACATAATAAATAGATGATATGTGACTGACATTTCACTATCTGATATATGTATAATATATGCACGATACTTGTAAGATGTATGACCGAATTTCCGCATAAATAATACACATATTGGGTACCTGCAAAACGTTTTTTTTTAAATATTTTAATATAAAGAAATGTTTTGCAACATTTTTTATATTATTATTGGTGCAACATTTTTCACAACATTTTTATATTAAACACTTAAAAAAAAATCAAATATTGCAAATTGCAAAATGTTTTTTTTATATTAAATCACTTAAAAAATGACATTTTAATTAGAAATATGTGTTTATTATTGAGGACTTCATCACGGTACATTATTTTATTATTATTAGAAAAAAAAAGCTAAAAAAAATTTCCAAAAGATTTTGTTATTTCTATAGTGATCTATTTGCATTATTAAAAAAAAATCAGAAAATTTTGTTTGTTTATATAATATCTGTCTTATGTATATCGATCTATTGTTATGATTGGAAAAAAAATTTGGTAAAAAAAAAATTTCTAAAAGTTTTATAGAAAATTTTATTTATACAATAGTTGCCTTATGTAGGTAATTATACACATATCGAAAATCCTTAGAAAAAATGGTTCGCAACATTTTTTATTAATAATAATATAAAAAAAATGTAGTGTTCTATTAGTATTATTAAAAAATAAATTGGAAAATTTTGTTTATACAATATCTGTCTTATGTATATTGTTCTATTGTTGCGATTAGAAAAAAAATTTTAAAAAAATTTCTGAAAAATCTATAACGATCGATCTATTGGCATTATTAAAATAAAAATCAGAAAATGTTATTTATACAATATCTGTCATATGTATTATACCAATCTATTGTTATTATTAGAAAAAAAATTAAAAAAAAATTCTGAAAGATTTTGTTAGATTTATAACAATCTATAAATAAAATTGGATTTATACAATATTTGTCATATATATTATACTAATCTATTGTTATTATTAGAAAAAAAAATTTAGAAAAGATATATTGGCATTATTTAAAAAAATAATCGGAAAATTTTATTTATACAATATCTGTCTTACATATTATACCTATTATTAGAAAAAAAAATTCCGAAAGATTTTATTATATCTATAATGATCTATTGGCGTTATTAAAAATGCTTCGCTATATTTTTTAATATAAAAAAAATATTGCGAAACATTTTTTTTTTTGCAAATGTGATATATCACGTGACCGATAATATGGTGTAGAAATTCACTGAAATTCTTTACTTGCAAATGTTTAATTTTTGAGGAAACTAGTTATAATTGAATCGATCTTACTTTTTTTTACTCAAGATTAATTAAATGCTGAAACAAATTTAAATTAAATTGACGGTTTAAACTTTTATATGAGAAGATCCAGGGTAATGTTTGCATCCAGGACTACGCTTTATTAATTAAGCTTAGGTCGATCGTAATCTTCCACCCCACGTGATTTGAGTGGCGCGGTGGCACAATCAGTATCGTTCCTTTTCTCCGCTTTTTTCACGTTAAAATATTTTTTAAAAAAATCCATTAAACTGAAAAGCTAGAGTGTAGAATATTGTTATAAAACTATAGTTAATTTTTATTTACAATAGACGCGTTTTTTTTTTAGATTTTGTGATATTAATCTGAATATTTTAACTAAATAAAACAAGGTTTTAGCGCTTGAAGAAAGTTATTTAACAAGTATGTATATTATTTTTGTGAAAATATTGTTGTTTTTTAAAAGAAATTACTGAGTTGTATTTGTTTTTTTTTATTTTGTAGTGTAATTTCGGGACTTTAGTTAAATGTAATGGGTTTAGGTAGCTTAGACTAAGCTGTTTAGCAGGTATGGAACCACTCAAATATTAATTTTATCAAGATATCTTGTGCCGCACACGGTTGATTTTTTTCACTCTACAGCGTAATTTTGGTACTTCTGTTAAATGAAACAAACCTTTAGAGATTAAGTAAGTTATTAACAGGTGTAGGATTACTTATATTGATTTTTATTAAATTAGCTTTAATATTTATGGAATAATTAGCATTTTTACAATAGTGTACTTGACTCTACTAAATATCAATAAATATTTATTTGTTTAAGTGAGAAGAATTATTTTTCAAATGTATTTATTGTAAAAGTAATAAAATGATTAATATGTTAAACAGTTTTCCTTTTTTGATTTTTTTTTTCCTAAGATAAACATGCGAAATAAACATTGCGCCAATTAAAATTCAGACGCCACAAAATCATGTGGGGTGAAAACCACTCTGCGTTCCATTTAGTCCGAATTGGTATAATGTGGCGTAATATTTTCAATTGTATAGTTGGTTACAAAACAAATGTCATTTTTGGGTAGTTGTCGATCGTATGACCACTCATGGGATATAGTGTAGCACAAAACAATTTGAACGTAATTACATAAATAATCATCATTTACTCCTTTTTCTTACTCATAAATCTTATAACTCATTAAATTTTTTTTGAAAAGAAAAAAAAAAAAAAATCTTATTACTCATTATATTTTGATATTTATTAATAACGGAAAAATGGATGCAAAAATGGATAACGTTAACTTTGACTCTACTAGCTCTATTTTCGATAACCTAAATCTTCATGTCAAACCAATGGACTCCTCCACTAAGAACGCAATGGACACGAGACGAGGTAATTTTTAGCTGTTTATAAAATTATAAAAAATTATAAAAAAAAACAGATAAAAAGAAAAAATTCTTAAGTAATTCTCACCCTAGATCTGGGAGAGCATCAGAGAAATGGCGGAGGTGAGCAGAAGGGGACGGACAGTATACAACAAAATTCTTCTTCCGTACAAGAAAGACAACATTATTTTCAAAGATCCCAATCAACGTCCAAAACCAATAGTATTGAGGGCAAATGGAGCTTTGATTACTATAGCAACTCCATCAGACGCCCTCTGCTACTTGTACACGATCAATCTAAGCTTCCCAATGAAGAAAGGAACAAAGAAACATCGCGAAAGATATCTAAGTCAGGTGGAGTTGATTTTTCAGCACCAAAACCAAATTTGCAAATGGATATCAATGATAGAACACGATCGCAGCAAGCAACCATACACAATCAACGTTTCCTGGAAAGCAAACCAGAAAAATGTTATCAACCTTGCATTTGGTGCATCAATTCCAGTTCCCAACCGGAACTGGGACGACAGGAAAAGATTGTGCCTAATCCGACAAAAGAACGACAAATACCTTCTCCCTCGGGATCAATCTGGAAATGTGATTCCAAAATTGGAAAAGTGGGAGTTCGGGAACTGCTCGGAAATGAATGCATGGACCTGTTTATGCCGGTGGAGACCAGATCTCCAAATCAAGTCCCGAACAATAACAGCACACAGCAGAGAAATAAAGGATCCATGCAAAAATTGAAAAGCTATCCAGAACTGGTTGACAGGTTAAAGAATGATTATAAGTTTCATGAATTCCATGGATCTACAGATAAATCATTAATTGACAAAAAGAATAGGGAATTCTTCAATAAGGAATTTGGTATCACTTCTATTCACCCACTGTTTGTAGATCATTCTCGAACTGTTCTTCTGTTTGTAGATAATCGTGGAATCATGTTTATGTGGAGTGAAAGGGAATATGGCATGCGTATTCTGGGAATTAATAAATTGGAAGGTCTTGCGAACTATCTTTACCATCCAGGTAAGATATGTGTTGTTATGGAAGATACTGGTGAGCTGGTACCTGAAGTGGAACTTGTACGTCGTGTAACGGAAAAGTTGGAAAATGAAGAGTTGGAATTGGCAGAGAAAAATAGAAAAAAAAGGTTGGCAAAGAAAAAAAGGTTGGCAGAAGAAAAAAGGTTGGCAGAAGAAAAAAGGTTGGCATAGGAAAAAAGGTTGGAGGAAAAAAGGATTGCGAAGGAAAAGAGTACACGTTTTGCCATTAACCTTTCTGATTGGTGAGATTATGATTTTTAGAATCGAATTTATTCCGGTTGGTTATTATTATTATCACGTAATCTTTTACCTTTATTTTTTTACATTGTCTCGGAATTTTTTTTTGCTGAACATTATTGTAAATAGTGAGTTTCTGTATATGTGAGATGTGCTTTGCGATTTTATTATACTGAATAACAATATTAAAAATAAATTAGCTAAAAAAACCTTACATTTTTTTATTTTCCGATATACAGTTAAAAAAGCCCGATATGGGTGAAAAACTTTATTCAATGCTTTTTATGCGTAAATAATAAAATCGCATTACAGCCATTTTCTAAAATCATGCGACCACATGAAAAAAATTCATGCACTTTTTGTCAAGAAAATCAAGAAAACTTTTCATTAATACAGAAATAAAAGATTCGGGACTTTTGTTTGTAGTACATGAAATTTCTATGCTAATGCTCTATCCTATTTATCCGTTCTGTTAAGAAATTTGCGTGAGGGCCGTCACAGAAAAATGCAAAGAAAAAAAGTAGATACCAGATTTCCGGGACCACGCAGTGCCAAGAAAAAATTTTTATTGATACATGCAAAAATAATACAAAGCTAGGGACGTAGCCTGTAGTACATTTTATTTTTTGATAAATTTTTTGATCCTAGCCCTCTTGCTAGATGGAGAACTATCTACACTAACATTATCCTTCAGCAATTCAACAATAATACCATTTTTACGTTGCTTCGAAGTAATTCGGGATTTTTCTTAATGGCGGACTTAGTAAGATTAATCTGATCCTCACTATCGCTTGTGGAGTAAATACAGTGTAAATACTTCGATTCCTGAGAAGTTTCCACTGGCTTCTGCGCCTCTTCCAACAACCAAATAATATGGCCAAGAACCTTCTCTGCCTTGTCATCTTCATACGCAACAAATAAGGGTTTTGATAACTTGAAAATGGTTTTCTTTCACTATATAGCGTACATCATAGTCGTCGTCTAGTTCATTCGCTTTGCGTTTACAGATAATGAAGATTCCATTTGTACAGTAGCCTGCGCAAATCCCTGCTTAAAACCATCTTTTTTAAACCTCAATCAAGCCAATCGTTCTCCCAGTTGTCCGTGATTCAAATCCATAGTCAAGATTTCTACGACCATTTTTTCCTTTGACCAGCTTCTCAGGCACTATCTTTATTTGACTTTTAAACAGGAAAGTTGCCGAGGCGAGATAGGTGTAGGAACAGATACTTTTTGTGGGCTCGTACGATATGTCGATGGGATTGTCGCAATGCGCGTTTCCAATTCATCTAAAAGTTTACGCAATGCTTTTTAAATATTTTTCATTATTAGTGTCGACACAACCACATGAAAAAATAGGGTACACGTCAATACTAGGATTCGGGTCTTCGCTAAGCCCATAGAGCTCACACACTTTAGGGAAAGTCCAGGAGTTAAATGGTTTTGATGGCGTCTCGATGAATACTGTGAACTTGGGGTTATTTTTTGATATGAATAACCGGCACCTCTCTGGGTGAATATCTCCCTTCATCACTCATAAAGTTTAGTACTGCTCCATCATTTCCAAGCGCTGGTGGCTTATACAATTCACGAATATAATTTTTGAGGTCTTTGAGGCTTGCTTGTGCAACAAGAGATATAGGAGATTACTGGACCGAGAAATCACCTAAAAAGCATAAAGCATATTCATGTCTTTAGTCGATCCACCTTTGTCAACCGTCACCTCGAGCCGTGAACAGGAATTACTTGACCGCATCGCATCGTTGGAAGCATCGCTTAACAAGCCCGTCTACGTAATATGTTTAGATAAGATCTTTAGGTTATGAAAAACGAGGTAATACCTCACCAACTACTGTTCGAAAAAAGATTTTACTAACCAAGCTCTTGCATTGCAGAGTTCGACGTCATCGTTAGACCGAAACAGAACGCAAACAAGTGGACTGTAAATATCGAGAGAAGTTCGAATTGGTCCTGGAGTGAGAGATTGCCTAAAGAGATCGTTGCGATCGTCAGGGATTTTCACTTTCCAAAGCTTGAGTTTGCACCAGCAAAGTCATTTTGTTTTTTTGCCTTTATAGCATCCTTGAGCTCGCTTCTCTACTTATTAGAGAAAGCGTTCGCGGTCATATTACCTTTGATAAGTTGCATATCTTCGATGCAGTATCATCCTTCTCAATAATGTGGATTCCTTTGATTCAGAAAGAACGATCCAGATAATATCACTAAATACTAGATATTGTGTTTGTTAGTTAATTATCGATAGAGTAATTATAACGAAAAATCTTGATATAAAAATTACCCTGTATATTATTTTAGCTATTTCGATTGTGGGAATAGATCTTTTTGGTTCCTGTCCGGGAACATGCGTTCTTTCATTCTTTACGAAATCTACTCACCGGAGGGAATTCATTTATAGCTGAAATAAGAAATCCATGTGTATTTTTTTATGTAGAATATTTGGAATAAATATTTCGAGTGTTAGTTCGCTAAGACACGATGTTTGCTAGAATGATCATCGCGATGATTGTATGCAGTAATCCCGCACCCGTGATAAGTATTAGGATGATGACCCATTTATATACTAAACTAGATCAGTAAATAACTTTTTTATCATCCTAGATATACTAATTGGTCCGCCAGTTTATAACTGGCGGAAAAAATCCTATTTTTTTGTGTGACAAACCAAAAAATTTTTTCGAACTTAGACAATTTTTTTACGTTCGAACTAATTTTTTTTAAATTTTTTACGCGTTTTTTTACTTAATTACAAGTAGGTGAAGTTTATGTATGTAAAAAATTATGTTTTAAATGTTTAGCAACATACTTTTTTACATTATTTTATAGTTTTTTGATATAAAAATTTATAATATTAAATTTTATTTATTTTATTATCCTTTAGTTATAATGTAGAATATGAAGTATGGCGGGATTGTTTCTTATTAGGAGAGAGAGGGATTAAATTAGAAGAAGAAGGATTTTTTTTGATATTTTTAGTTGCATTATTTTGTTTTTGTAACTTTAAACTTTGAAATGCAAAATAAATTTTTTCCAAAGAATCATTTTGAATTAGTTCATTTAATGCACTTTTTCCTAATTCAAATTGTTCACTAGTTTCATTATTTTGAATAACATTTTTTGAATCAAAATTATTAAAAAAATTTGCTATTTCTTTTAGGCTATTTAAATGGTTTAAGACTGTATGGCAGTTAGTGTGAAATTCCTGTTCCTGAAGAGCCAAAGAATTTGTATTTTGAAAATCAAAAAACCAAGTTGATGAAAAATCATTATCATTTGACTTAAAACTTTCAAAATTTTTGTTACCATCACTTTCATCATCACTACTTTCATCACTTTTGCTGCTTTGATTTTGAATATTTTCTTCAGTATTATAAACTTCATTTTGAATAGTTTCTTCAGCATTCTCATCAACCTGCAACCTGTAATCTATCTAATTCTTCTATAGTTGGAACAGATTTGATCTTAAAAGTATGATTTTTTTTTGCCATTACCTTTGCAAATTATGATTTTGTATATAATCTTATGGTATTAGATTTTTCCTTCCATTTCACGACTTCCTAATTTTCATATAATTTGCCATTTTAATATACACATTCAAAATTTTGGACCTCTTGTAAATACAGCAGTAATTACTAAAGAAATTAAAGAAATGCGGCACCATATTTTTAAGTCTATAATCCCACATTCTAATAAAAAAATATTGAATCAGACTTTTTCCATTATTACAATTCATTACAAACTCTTCGATACTTATTGGATGGGGAAGTTGATTCAGGATATAATAATACAACTCAATTTAATTTTAAAGAATTACTAAAAGATCAATGTGTACAAAACTTTTTAGATAATTGGTATATTTCACCATTACAATTTGATTTAGAAAGTGGTAAGTAATCTTTATTATACATCATTTTAAATATTTTTAATATTTATTTACTTTGATTTACGGATTTATCTTTAATTTGTATGACCGAAAATTATATTAATTTATGTGTTCAATCACCACTTAAAAAATGTGATTTAAAGAAAGATGATCTTGAAACCTTTCTAAATGATAATTTATTTGCAGAGTTGGGACAAGCTTACGAAGAGGATTTAAATAATATAGAACACCTAACATCTCATAAAGTTAAATACTATAAAAGTATTTCCTATACAATTGTAGATAAAGATGAGCAAGTTAACATAAAATTAAATGTAGGAGATGTTGTAAATGTATTAGAAGATATTACACCACTTGGAAATATATCTCAAGATGCTACTGATATGGTTACAAGAGTATCTTATTTACGAATTATAGCAATAATTTTACATTAAAAAGTATAACTTCAAGTACCATTTCTTTTCTTAGATTGGTTTATTTCTCAAGATACTAATGATCAAAAATAAAGTGTCCTTTATATAGATTACAGCGGCAATCAGGTTATACATGAAGACAATAAAATGGATCGATCAGCCATATCTAAAAATGTTGTTACTGTGTGAACGAACTATATATTGATTTGGTACAAAAACAAGGATATACTGTAATCATCTCAGGAAAGCACAAGAAAATCTATAGTGGATGGCAACTTCCACATGTATCAGATAACTGAAACTTATGATAAAACATTTTGACTGAATCATACTTCCTCCCTTTAAATATTCACTACTCATTTATTTTACAAAAATAATAAAAATAATAAAGATGCGATTTTCATTGCATATTAATTTTTTGTTTGTCAAGCAATTGTCATATTACATCATTTTGATACCCCAAAAGCTTAGTTATTTTTTTCTTTACTTTTTTTCTTTTACAATAATCTTATATTACGTAGCTAGGTCCATTGCTTACCAAATATAGCATGGAGAAATACTGTCTTTACATATCGCTAAACCGGTCGTCATCAATGGCATCTGCTGCAGATGGTCTTTCATCATGATTTTGTTGTGTCAATCTATCCCGAAAATTTCTAGCTCTTACAGAAAGCTGAATTTGAAGAATTCTTAAATCGTTCAAAAGGTTTCCAATCATCCAGATATCACCTGCTGCTCGGCATGGATCGGATTCCATACCTCTATATTCCGGAGCCGCAATATTTAATATAGGTGTCCTATAACAAAATAGTAAAAATTAGTTAATAATATTTGATACACGCCAAATAAGCCCATTAATCTATCATTATTACCTTCGGTTACCTCTTCCAATTGGAGCAGCTTCTTCAAAGTCAATTAAAACCCAACTATTATCTGTAAGTCTCATGACGTTTTCCCAACGAATGTCCCGATGAACAATCTCATTTGCGTGAAGGATCATTACACTTTTAAATACACTCCATATAGCATATCGCAGCTCATCTTCATCTTTAGGAATTTCCATATATCTCCAACTGGTGCAAATTCTAAATATATCCATCTTGCATGATATTTTGATTCAAGTAACTTATAATTATCTAATTTTGGAAAAATATTTTCGTAAAAAAACTTAAGGAACGTTTTATAGGCGGGCTCTCGTTTCTCTATATGTAATTTTTTAATTACTTTTTTGGGGTTTATTGTGACGGTGGTTCCATTTCTTCGTTGGATCACTTCATATAACTTTATCTCCGGACGTCGTATATACTGCTTGAGATCCCAAGTCCGAATAATCCGAATAGCATTGATTGTATGTTGAAGTGCCTTAAAGTTATTCATTCGATTTGTAGTTCCAAGGTTTATAGTGTTACCAATTCTCACACGTACTGGTACATTGTTGTTGTTCGAATAATAATAGTAAAATTGCAATTTTATACCGGCTGCTACAAAAGCCATAACAAATGGCAATCTACCAAAGGCAAGTGGATTCCAAAAGTCAAATATCCATCTAATTGTCTTTCTGCAGCTTCCAATCTATCATCAAGGTCTTTCTCCTCACCCATCATAAAAAGCACGTTCTTATAATAGATTGTCATATCTGGTCGACTTCTCGGATGCTCTGTGGTAGTGGTTGTAGATTTAATTGTCTTGTTACGATCCAAATCTAAATCACTACAATTCTCTTCATATTCTTGGGCAAGTTCAATAATTTTCCTAATATGAACATCAATATTTCCCAAAGTTCTTGCCTCCCCACCAGAAATTTGTTTAAATGATGCGCTCATAACTTCACCAACAATCAAACTTAATCTAGAAGAATAAATAGAGCTTGAAAATGTGTCTTCAATTACGTCAGTATAGCCCATAACTAAACCAGGAAAACATGGCAATTTAAGTGGTAGTTTTGCCGAAAGGAACTGCTCAACATTAGTACAATCAATTTCAGTATCAAAGGGACACAAGAGCAAATTTAAAAAATCTGATGTTCTATCTAAGATAGAGATAGTTAAAATGTGAGTTAGCTGTTAACATTAAAGTTCAAGCCTAGATCTAAAACATCAAACCTTCGAGTTTTGTTTGGAAAGTCAGAGGCTAAAAACAATAAAAAAAGAAGATCAATTTCATAAGCATCAAGAAAATAAAGGAACACAATATTTTGTTACTGCAAATTTCTTGTTAGAGAGGTAAAAAATTGGGAGACACTTACCGTCGGGGATGATGGAACTTACAGGTATATAATCTTCATCACCATCTAATTTATCCAATTCATCTTGAAAATATATACTAAAGAGTTCATCGTTCATCAAGTTCCATTTCTTTTCCTTTAAGTTTTTGTACGCCTTCTTCGGTAAAAATATTTTGCTCTTTAATATCTTTACTCTTAACACCAATAACTTTCCAAAGTTTCAAATTGCTTTTGTCGGAATCATCAACCCCTTTAATACTACAGACATGGTCCCTGAGGTGCTCAATGTAGAGTTGATTTAAGGAGGTCTTTGCATTATTAAAATCGACGTATCTTTTTTTATCCTTATCGTCTTTATAAATTTTAACCGTAAGAAAGTCACAACTGTTGCTTTGAAGTACGTAAAGTTTGAATGACGTTTCCATCGCTATAAAAAGTATAAAAGGAATAATGAGGTATATATATATACTTTTCTGAATACATCGCGACATATTGCATAAACTTTTTGTGGCTTATTGATGTAATACAGCAAATAATATAGATATTCCGACAGAATTAATAATAAACATAGTAAAAAATCAGTAAAGAAAAAAAAAATGATTAATAGTTTAACCCTCCGACGAATTCTCGGGGTATTTATTAAAAAAAGGTGAATTAATGTTACGTAATTTTAGGTCGCACGAATGCACGATTGACCGTATTTGACTAATTAGTGTGGCTTTTTTAATAAAGCGCCTGTGATGTAACTACTGTGATGTCACCAAGCCGTTTGATTATTTTCTCTGAGCCTTCCTCTTCCTCCTCTCCGGCAATATCTTCAATTTCATAATAAATACTCATGATATGATGAATAATTCGAAGTACCTATATTGTCATTATAAGCCTTAAACTTTTTCAAAATTTTTCTCTCTCTAAAAAACACTTTTTTCTTTTTTATCACAGCTCAACAAGGATTCGACCCTGCCAAACTAAATTTTGCATGAAAGTATTGGTAAAACAAGATTTGGCTCATGAAAAGTCAAAATAATATGGCCAAACAAATTAGTAAAATTGGTAATGTCATTAAATTGTTTACTTCTAGGCGAGATTTCTTGCAAATCTTTCTCTGGAATCATTTAATTGACCGTAAAAAAGTATCTGTTACCGCAGATGCTAAAAATGACAAGGTAGAAGATGTAGATGACAAAACAGGTCATTTTATCATATTGGTTCTATAGGCGTAGTGGGTTGTCTGACTCACTAACACCACATGCAGAAGAGCAGTATAAATTCAGTTCTGCTATTGAATCAGGGTTTCCTGTCCATGAAACGACTACAGGAAAGTTTACATTGGAAGATTTTGAAAATGAATTAGAGAAGGCTACTAAGGGTTGTGAATGCTTTGTAGTGATGACTGTAAAGCGGTTTTTTGGTAAAGTTAATGAGCTTCCTCAAGAGTCTTAAGAACTGGCATTGTGTTTGGAGATCAGTTTCTGGAATTTAGGATAAAGTAAAGTATCGGAAATGATGATAGATGAGGATAAGGAAGAATCAGAAATGAAAATTGACAATTAAGTATCGTAATTGCATAGTGTGCATGCGAAGGAAAAAATATTTTCTTGTACGATAATTATCACATGATTTTCAAATTATTATAATGTAGTTTAGTAAAATTTTATGATTATAAGTTGTGAAATGGCTGAAATAAATTAAGGAAGTAATCATTTTAGCTTCTTTTATTTTTGTTTACTTGTATAAGATGAATAAGAGAGTTATCAGTTTAATCTGTATAGAACTTTTCTAAAAAAAACTCTATACACTGTGGATATTACAGCTGATGTCATGTGGTAAATGTGAAGCTCAACATGATACCAATAAGTTTTAGTTTATGAAAACAGTGACATTTTGTCACGATCGGTAAAATTTTTTATTATACAATGGTAGCGTGATGTACTATGCAAAAAATAAATACAAAATCGGGACTTTCTATGCTAATACTATATCATAGTATTTCATCTAGTTTTACCCACTTCAATGATTCCTGTGATTTGATCTGGCAATCAAATACCCACTTGATTTGCCTAAGCAAAAGACTTTTGTTGAATATACTCTCGTTAATAGAAAAGTAAATGGTGTTCAAACCTAATAATACCTTGACATTTCCATTATCATTGTCATTGCATTCACCAGTAGTAATTAACTTAATTATGAGTAATACAGAAACCAGTAGTGTAGGGTTAACCAGGATCCTGGATAATTATAATACTGTAATAGAGGTCACATTTTCCTTACCCTAACCCTAAGATACTCCAATGTCAATATTATCTTCAAAGATAAGTATTTCAGCCTAAACTAACTTCCTTATCCTAAGATACTTCACTCCAAAGATGATTGCTTAAGAATTTAATGAAATTTTATAGATATTAATTCATAAGAGTAAAACAAATTCTTTTAAATTAATCAATTTATTAAAATACATTAATTTAAAATAAATTATTGTAAATAATAAGTGCTATCAGTATACCTTACTTGGTATTTCTACAGGTTTCATATTTTTTGCGAATTTTGTTTTAAAAGATTTATAGTTATTGTAAAGAAAATAAGTCAACTTTTTATTTTATAACGTAGACATGAAAAGAAAGCTTAATAGTTTAAATAATACACGATAAATACAGTCAGACCTCTATAATTGCACTCTCCATAATTGCACCCACTATGTATACCCTCTCTAAATGCACCTTCTGGTTCGGTCCCAAGCTTATATGATCTCTAATTATTTTACCTCTATAAATGCACACCCTCTTTAAATGCACTATTTTGAAAATTATGCATATGGTCCCAAGGGGTGTGCAATTATGGAGGTCTGACTGTATTTAAATAGCCACAAACTGTGCCATATGTAATAAAATCACATGCTCAAAAATTACATGTCTGAACTTTTTTTGATGGTGTTACTAGGGAAAATTGTGAAGAATCTTTACAGTTTTTAAGATTACATGTTAATTTGGATGCATTAACTTGCAGTTGCTTTGATAAGATGCAAGATGCTAATCTTATGTTTTCAGAACTAGCCTTATAAAATTGTAATAAGTCTTGCTCGTCTTGCTTTGAAGTTAACATGTCTGTGACCTCAGAAATTTTAGTTACATCTTAAGAAATTACAAGTACTTTTTAATCTTTTTGCTTTCTTCTCTCTCTAATCTCATTGCTAATACTTTTCTTATATGTCTTATCTAAGAAGTTGACCATTTCCTTATCATTACTATCAAGACCACTAGGTGTTCATCTTACTTCATTATTGAGCTAGTCTATTACAGAATCGAGTACATCAACAGTTGGTACTGTCATCACTGGCATCGCTTTTTTACAATTTTGTATTTATACAAATGGTAATGCCATTATTCTATATACTGCTGTTTTCTAATAATGCAAATTTAGTCTTAAGTTCTCCAATTTTAAACTTGAGTTCAGTATAAAGATACGATTCAAATTCTAAAAGACCATTCAGATTGAATTCAGATGTTCATTAGCACATCTGAATTCAATCTAAATCATCAAACTAATCTTAATTCTGGCTGAAATTGTAATTTTAGGCAGAATTGAAGTTTTAATAATGAGAGTTAGCTTTGCCTAAACTTTTAGTACTGGCCCAAGCTAACTATAATGCTAGTCAAAATTAAAAATTGGATCAATCTGTAAAAAGTAATCAGATACAGATATCCGATTTCAATTCAGATAAACGGATTAATCTGAATTGACCAGATTACAGATTGTAGTATTAATTCAGTATTCTCAGCATCATGCCTTGCATTATTTTCAATAATTTGCTTTAGCCTCATATTCTCAGCCTCACCTCAACTTTAGTAACTTCTTGAGAATCTCAGCATTCTACTTTCTAAGCTTTGCAATTTCAGCTAAGAGTTTGATGTTTAATTTTCTTAATGAATCAATAGATTGCATGTTCAATAATAATTTTTTTATATAAAATAGAATAATTTAAAAGTTCATTAGTATAGATAAAAAAAATGAGATAATATTCTTATCAGAATTACTGATTTATTGATATAAAAAATAAATTACAAGATTTGATAATACATAAACAAAGAAAAATAAAGTTTCTATACTAATGCCTACCAGTATTTCTTTTATCTAACTATCTATATACTAACATATCTCAACATTTAACTTTAATCTGATTTTATTTGTTTTTAACATTGATATTTTGAATAGAATAAATGGTCATCAGACATCAGTTATACATAGAATATATAGAGTTAAAAATAAATTAACAATATTGACCTTAGTAAACACAGGTTGGATGATGAGGTATTGGTCTGATATCATATACTTGATATCTGTATGATATGTTATATATTGCGATCTGATATATTAATGATCTGCAATTCCGATATCTAACCAATTTTTGGCAGAGATAGTTAGAAATAAGTTACATATAGGATTATCACATATCATATTCATATCATATTTAATATCATTGACATTACGAAATTCTGATATGTTAATGAAAATTATATGTTACGTATACTATATTTTATTGATTGTATCCAGATACCTCATGTCATATTACCAATATCCCAATGATACTTTTATAGTTTTTAATATTATACCAGTTATAAATTCAATATACAAAATAAATTATTTATATTATTTATTATTTCAAATAAAGCATTATTAAATATATTTATTATCATTTTCGCTATTAATACATTTTATTATTTACATACATAATATGGATTACTATACATGATATTTTTATTAATAATAAAACTTTACAGACCTTTCAATAATAATTTAGCGTCTTACTTTAGCTCTTGACTTCCCTTTGCCTCCTCTGTTATTCTTTTTCAGTCTTGCATTTTTCTGCTGTTCTATATTAACTCCTCTAATTGATTCATCTTCCGCCTTTCATCTTTGTTCCATTTCTTTTCTTATATTTTTAACTCTACCTCCTTATTTCGTATTTGCCCTTCATACTCTCGTATTTGTTCTACCTCCTTTATTCTATTTGAATCATCTTCTACACTTAGTCTTTCCATTTCTCTTCAGTTTTGCTCTTCCTCTACACTAGTCAAAAAAGGAATATTCGGCCTTAGTAAAATTCGGCCTATATTTGACTAAAATCAAAAATTCGACCATGATCTATGATTAGACATTGGTCAAATAGCCACGTTACATGTTATGTGCATCAAAAGTTTAAAAAAGGATCATCTTTTTTAAACTTTCCTTTTCCTTCCACTTCATCCCTTCT